TAATTAGTAGAAAAGTTGTAAACCTTGTGAAAATACAGGTAAATGTCCAAAATGTACGTCTTCCTTCAAATTTTCCAAAGCTGTTGAATCATCCAGATTCGAGTGTTTGGTGGGCCAAGTCTGGCTACCCGGCCTTTTGTTTGACATCACTGCTTTAAGCTAACGTTCTCCTAAGTTTCTAAATTGGAAAACCTCCTGATTTTGAAGGGCAGAAGAAAGGAACAGCAGGTGAGTGGGGCTCTGAGCTCACAGGCAGAGCTCTGTGCTCGAGATTACCATATCGAGGAGATACACTCTCAGTATAACAGTATATTTAGAGCCAGGGCCGGCCCGTGGCATAGGCCGTATAGGCAAATGCTAAGGGCGCCGTCCATCAGGGGGCGCCACGCCAGTGCCATAAATGTTGAAAAAAAAAAAAAAGTTGGTACTATTATTTCTAAATACAAAAAATAATCCCACGTTAATTAAAATGCAAAGTAAAGCTTATTTAATAGAAACATTATTTGTTACAACATTATGCCCCCCCTCCCCGCACGGTGCGCCCCCTCCCTTCCCGTATCATGGTTCCTTTTGGACGTCACCACATCAAAAAATCAACACAAGATGTCAAAAAGGCCAAAACTGTCAGGTGCCCAGGGAAGAAAAAAGAGAGAAGAAGAGGAGGAGAAACGAGAAAAAGACAGAGGTAGGTAACGTTAGCCTACATGAAATTATTTGTCTGAATGTGATAGTAACCTAAATTTTTAGGATTAAGCTAATGTTACATGATTCGCTAATTGCTAATCAATAAATAGCTAGTTAACTGTTTTAACGTCAGTTAATATTGTGGAGGGGGCTAAATTGTTATGGAAAATAATAATGTAACGTTAGGTAATTACAGTACTCCCACCTTTCCCACCATTCCTCATTTGTATTCATCTTTTAAGCAGGTGTTTTTTGTTTACATTGTTATTGCCTTCTGGTTAGCTAACGTTTACCCTGCAGGTAATAGTCACTTTTCCACCCCTGTATATATTATAGTTGTAAGCCTAGTTGTTAAAGTGCACATCATTAATGTTAATTAAGCAATATCACATGAGAGGGAATGCTGTTTTTTAATATGAGCACTGCTGTGATTCGGTCAAAGATAATCATAACATAACATTCTCATATGATATTATACTGTTACTTTGCATTCTGCTATTCAGCATTTCACTGTAATGATGACAATAAATTGAATCTAATCTAATTTGCATAAGAGTTAACATCATACATATATCTCTTTGGTTTTTCATTTATATTATATCATTTCATTTTATTCCTGGAATCATATGTTTTTATTATTAGACTTTAATACTCAGTGGTGTCACATACTCCTCTCTTCAGATGCACTGTTGAAGTTTCTAAATCCCACCCCTGGGCCATCTACCACATCTACCGCTGCTGCCTCCACTTCAGCAGCACAACCCACCAGTGATGCAGCATCAGCAGCACAACCCAGCCATGATGCAGCAGCATCAAGCGGTCTTCCTGTTGCCTTATTTATATTGTATTTTTAATTTATTTTATCCAACTTGTTGACACGTTTTATTGTGTTTATGTATGTAAAATTTATTGTATTTCATATATTCATTTTTTATTTTTTGTATTCATTTATTTATTCACATCTTTTTTTATCTTGTTAATTATTCTGATTGTGAATTTGCTTTCTTTAAGTAAAAAAAAAAAGGTCAAAGACAAAGCTATTCGGTTTCTTGTGAGTACATACACTACACTGCCGATGTAGGGGGGCGCCACCTAAAATCTTGCCTAGGGCGCCAGATTGGTTAGGGCCAGGCCTGTTTAGAGCAGTAGGAACCTTCCACTTTTGGCTCACAGGAATTTATTGTAGTTGTACTGACATCTTTATTTAACATTTTGACCATGTTTAATAGCAGGGCCAACTGTTATAACAATACATATCCATCTATCTTCTTATCCAGTTCACGGTTACAGAGAGGCTGGAGCCAAAATTTCACAAGGTTAAAGGAAGAGTACAGCATGGACAGGTTACCAATCTTGTCATGGTTCTTCTCTATCCTCAGGTTCTGCTTCTTTCACTTTCACTGCTACTCAGTGTTCTAATTCAGTAATATTGGTCTCTTAGTTTAACACCGTGTTGTTCGCTAACTCGTACGTTCCTGACCCGTTTGGGGATTCTGCTTTTGGTTAAACTTTACTGACCCCTCCTCTCCCTAACAAAGAAACACGAGCCTGTTGAAGAAAAGGGAATCATTCCCAGCAAGTATCTGCAGAAAATATTTGCAGTTCTACCCATGAAAGCAACCGCAACCGTCCGGTGCCTGCAACCTGAGAGAACAATGAACACTTACCTGTCATACCACATTTAACTCGACTTGAACCTGCAAAAAGAAAGAAAACCTTTGTTTGAACAACACTTTTAGCAGCATTCAAAAGCGTTAATTAAAGACTTTTTCTAGCTGTTTTTGGACTAAAGGAAGCTAGAGAACCGAGCCACATTAGGTCTACTTTAATGATCTAATGATGATAGAATAATCTAATGGCCAAGTGTAGATGTCTTAAAAGTCTTAAAAGTATAAAAACAGTGTATTTTGTGTACAGAATACACTGTTTATTATGATCCCCGAACAGTAATGCAGAATGGCAGCTATAAAATTAATGCCCAGTTCTCTGAGGAACTGACACCAAATCCTGATATTTACTGCCTTAAACCTGTCAAATATTTTTACTCATATGTTAAGCTGAAAACATGGCCGTATCATTGACACTTGGCCAGTTATCTGTGGGAATTCAGAAGAAAGTACAAGCCTAATGTTTTCCTTTAAATATTCCATGTAATGGTCCAGAGTCAAGTCATAAAACTGGGGGAAATGGAACAGTGGACGCTTGTTGGTGTTGTAATGTAGGAAGACATGGACATGACTTCCACACTGCCAAGAATCCATGATTTATGTAAGCCTTCCATCTGTTTCCACAGAATACGTTGCACAACAACAAATGAGTCAGGCTGGCTATAGGGACATCTACAGTAACACACACACACACACACACACACACACACACACACACACACACACACACACACACACACACACACACAGATAGTAAGATGGATCATTGTGACGAGCTCTCTGTGGCTCAGATGAACGATGGATGAGGTGATGCAGAGAAGCCGCTGATCTCCTTACTCCCACACTGAGTGACCTGAATATACACAAGCTCGCACACGCATATAAAACTTCACGCACACATACATGTACCAACTATCTGCACACACATGCAGCATCCCGCTGCAGCTGACAGCCATTCATTCACTCTGGTGACATGCTCGGGCTATATCTAAATAGAGGGCTTTCTCTGGATTGGACCCACCCATCCCCCACCTCCTGGCATCACACACACATGCATACACACATATGCATCTTAGGTACACACTTTTCCTGTATCAGTCTGCCAAATTTCGCTGTTTCTCAACTCAGTGGATTGCTGAGGTGAGCATGCTTCAGATGTTGTGCCTTTGCACAAACCTACACCTGAAAACAGAGATATGCAACGAAAACTGCCACACCTTTCTATGACACCTTGACCCATTGCACACGCGCTCGCGCACACGCACACACACACACACGCACACACACACACACACACACACACACACACACACACACACACACACACACACACACAAATCAGCTTTCAGCATGTTTGCTCTAACAATGTGAAAGCCCTCTCTCATTAACCCAAAGGGCACCCGAGCCTCCCATTGTGGCCCTATCTCCTGCAGCATTCTGGGTAAAGTAGTTTAACAATGTCAACCAGATAAGCCCAGTGCAAACCTGCTGATAAGGAGTCAAAGACTGCACTTAACGTGTGTGTGTTTTGAAGGCGTCGGTTGATTGAGTGGCCGATGAGGAGGATGTAAAAGACCAACAGTAAGCAGAAAGGGAGCATGTGTGTGTGTGTGGTGGGAGTACTGTTTCATATCTTTGTAATAACAAGTCAAACTGCCGAAACAGCTAAATGCAAAAGACAAAAGAAACGCAAATATGCACACATACCACTGGCCCCTATTTGAATGTGTGTATGTATGGCCAAGGACCATGAGTAAAGTTGTTATGTATTGACAAGCAAAACAGACGCTGGCCCGAGTTTTAAAATGGAAAAAACTGTGAAGGAGGGGCTGCCATTTAAAAAAAACAAAAAAACAAACCACAGCTCAGAGTAGAAAAAGTTTATGACCGATGTTCAAGGCAATGCAAGGGGCCACAAGGCAACTGGATTGTAATTTGAGGTCAAAGGTAAAGTAGAAGTTTGCCGTGAGCGGCATAACAAAAGGCTCAATGCGATACAAAAGGTGTGAATATGTTGCAGGAAGTCTTGAATAAAGCACCAGCAAATTTGCAAACTTTGGCCCAGGCAGTCCACAGCCTGCAGGGGGGATATAATCTCAACTGTTCTTGGGTAATACACACACACACTAGCAGAAAACCCATGCAGTGCAGGAATGCACTGACATAATTTATTTATAGTGGTTTATAGACTCTCACATGAGCTGTGTGCTAGCACAAAAATGCAGAGTGCAGATTTGAAATCTTTGCCAGCTGAAATCTGATATCCTCCCTTTGTTCTCTTAATGATCCTGTTCTGTTTTTTTATTATTCTGAATACCTGACCCACCTGTAGAGCCTGCAGAGACTTTATCCCGTCGTCTCTCATGAAACACCCTAAGATACAGTTGCCCTTTCTCTCCCCATTCTTCCTCCTCTATCGGCTACAGCTATAGTTTCAAATTGCTTCCTCGTCTCGTGTTCCCCCACCTACTCGCCTCCTCATTCTTGCTTTCTTCTGCGGTCCATTTTCTTACAGCAGACAAATGATCGGCATTGATGATCACTGGGAGGTATTCAACGAGCTCACAGCCAACAGTAAGGTGGAGGGAGGGCGTGGAGTGGGGAAAGAAACAACTGACATGCTTTTATTTTGTAAGAATTCTTCTTTTTTTTTTAATGAAACACAAAAAAGGCAATAAAATTAAGATAAATATTTTTTTTTCTTTTTGTACATGAGGAAATATTTAAGTTATATTTCCATAGCATGACTGAAATCACATAATATATTTTAGTAGGCAATCTCAACCATACAAAACAGGTTCCAGTGGGTCTATAAAAAGAAAGAACAAAAACAAAAGTTGCTTCTGTCAAAATGTGATGTTTAGAACTGAATCCAGTGTTTCTTAAAGAAAAGCTTTAAATCTCTCTTTTTTCATTTTTTTTTAAATTAAAGACCCATAAAAGTAATATTTCCAAACTGAGTTTCACATTAGTTTCCATTTAAAGCTTTTGCTTTGCAGTGTAACAGGAACAATGTTGTTAAAAGTCAGTTAAAAAAAAAAAGGAGGGGGGGGGGGGGGGGGGTTGCATTCATGTTCTTCCCCCTTTACATCCGACACACAGACAGCCAGCACAGGCTTGCATAAACAAGAACAGAATGGTAAATGACGAAAACAAACAAACATAAAAAGACAAAAGACAACACACACACGCCCACACACACCCACACACACACACACATATAGACATTTTTTGGCAAAGCAGGAATAAAAGTGACAAGAAGCATAAGTCATGATTGGATCCTTGTTTTTTTTGTTTTTTTTGTCCCTCGGCATTGTCCGATTGATTGGCTCTGATTGTCCTTCACAGTCACGTGACGCCATTTCTGGTTGCCATTGAGACCTCAAGTGCATCAGCCGGGCGGTGTGCAGACAATGTTGCTGCAACAGGGGCCGTCATAGCAACGCCGGATGTACGCGAGCGGACAACAAGAGGGAACTCTGTCGAATACCTCGGTGATTGCAGAGGTCCCAGATTCAGATTTGATTGAGCGTCTTTCATAAAATTGTTTCTTTCTTCCTTTTTTCCTCCTTCTTCTAATGTGGTGAAGCGTAAACTCACAGGTGCTTTGGTATGTTTCTTTTTGCTGCCGGATAAATATCTACATTTTATAATACAGGCTAGAATAGATACAGAAGATTCTTTCAGGATCGCAGAACAGCAGAAAGTCAGCTTGCTTTTTCCAGTATTTGTAAAAAAAAAAAATTAAATACAAATGAAAAACAAAACAAAACAAGGAAATGCACATTCTTAACCTAACGGAGTAAAATATAAAGAGAAAAAAGAAAGAAAGAACTGGACACAAGTAAAAAGAGCTTTTTTGTCTGATTACATTATAAAAAAAATTTCCCAAATACCCTTTCTACATATTTACCCTTTGCCTAAAGCAGAGGCTACAACCACAAAGTCATCACATCAGTCATACAGTCTGATGTCCAATCCAAACATCTGATACTGTTCAGTGCATTGAGAGCGAAGAAACCTCTGCTAGAGGCTGACATCCCTCCCCACCCCCCGCCCACCCCAGACTCACCCACACACCCTAAAAAAATCTAAATAAAATAATCTTCTCTGCAAAAAGAAAAACAAGAAATAAGAACAAATATATACTATTTACATCATGTAATCCTTCCCATAATGCTGTACAAAGCGCAGGCGCGCTCTCACGCACACATATGAACGCACACCCAACATGCACGCACAGTTCAAATAAACAATCCAACTACCTGTACATGTGTCTCCGCACCCGAGCAGGGGCATGCGAGAGAGAGAGGTATTGATGTGTATGGCTTGAAAAGAGCAAAAAAATTTAATGTTGTGTTTCAGTCGCAAAGACTGAAAACTGCACGTTTAATAGTACTGGGCTGATTAATATTCAGAGGCATGCCCACCCGTGTGCCATGACGTCGACATCTTTGCTGTATGAGCACACCCGTCCATGACCACACACACACACACATACGCACACGCACGCACACGCGCACACACGTACAGTATAAACACACGCTAAAGCACTATTTACTTAGAGCTAATTATATGTCAAACAGGGTCATCGCAGCCACTCTGCAAACACAAATACGCACATTTAAACACACAGTCCAAACTACAGTGTTTATTGGTCCTGTTGGATATCTTTCAATCTCCGCGTTGTAGTTACACTACCAGTATAAGACCATTAAAACCATCCAAACCAGTGTGGTTTACAGCATGTCTCTCCTTAGCAGACGCTCTCTGCTGCTCTCTTTGTTTCAGGAAGCCAAGTCTCCGTTATGCCTCCAGAAATACTACACTCCAAAGTGCTCATGTCCTTGGTTTTTCTACTTGTTTTGCAGCGATCTCGCCACAATTACAAGATGCTCTGATAAAGTGGTTAAATTTGACGTCGATCAGATTTTTCCTCGGAACAAACCAGTCTCCTCTTAAGTGCCAGTGTTGCCAGGCTTTATCTGGCGGGCTAGCGCCTTTTCTCGTGTAAATCAGTAACCAAAGCCCTCCGTTCTTTGTCCTGATTTGTCTTTGTCCCCCTGTTGTCTTCTGAAGAACCATCCTAGAAACTCCGGAGACAAGGTCAGTTTTCTGATTTCTTCCTAGCTGGTGGTGCTAGGACACAATAGCCATGCCATCTGCACTGACCAGCTGGCCTGTAGTTGGTTCATAAGTTCCGGCCAGATAGAAGAGGTCATTAGCCGTGGTACCCGGCTTGTGTTCGCGCATCAGGTGATCATACTCAGCCTTACTGACCACCTGACACCGATGGGAAATTGTCTGCACATCGTTCTCATCCTCGTGGCTCGACTGATACAAGGCATTCTGGAAGAGAGACAATCGGAAGAATAGAATAATGTCATATTTAAACAGATTTTCATGCTTTTTGTTGTGTGTTTTTGTTGTTGTAATGTTTTCATTCCTACAAATACCTTTTTGATTGTGGGGTTTTCAATGAGAAAATTTGAGGTTTTGAAAGTGTTCATGGTAGTTTTGTCTTTGCTCATACAATATATGCTCCTGCTCAGTCTAAACATCTTGCTTTTTCTTCTTTATTCCAAATAAACCATTTCTTTTCCAGAAATATAAAATGCACGACTATGTAAAGCTTAGATTAATCTTGAGTCACCGTACGCTTAGTTTTTAGAGATCTGCAAATATTAATAGCTTTATGATCTAAGTGGAAGTTCAATCATCTGGGGGTACGGAATAAAAAGAAGTAATATATGCTCATGAAAACTTCACAGTCTTGTTAATTTGGCCATTTCCCTTCCAGAAATTCTGCATGCACTTCCCACTTTTTACCTTGCCGTCACGGTGTCGCTTCCCCAGGCGAGTCTCCTCTGGGTGGTAGAACCACTTGACCCTGACCACCATACTGGAGCTCCATGACTCCCAGAGGCTCTCCACTCTGCCCACATAGGGCAGCTGGGGCCGGCCGGGTGACAAGAACACAGCGCAGTCCCCGACACGCACTGTTTCTTTGCCCCGCACAATGGCCTTGTAGAAAAGCTTGCGGGCTTTACCCTTCAGACCTCTCCTCTGTGAAGGAAAGAGAAAACAGCACTCAGTTGATTTAGACAGTTTCTACAGTTTGTTTCATCACCAGAGCAGACTAGGGCAAGGTTCAGTATAATTTACCAATCCAACAAAATCTGTGCAACACAAAAGAAAAAAAGAAAAAAAAAAGAAAAGAGAAAAAAACCCAGCCCAGTCAGCTTCATTTTTTTAGTATAATCTTAAGGTATGGATATTTCTATCTTCAATAATCTATATTTGGCAACGTGGCTTTGTTTTGGGACCATCCGAAGCTGGATGTGGGAAAAGTGGCAGTAAGAAAAAGAAGAATCAATGACATCAGTGACAACAATGATAAAGTCAAATACAACACGAAAGGAAAAGCTAGGATACAGATGGGCTGCAAGGTGGCTTGCAGATGCACACCAGCTGCAAACAGACAAAAGCAAATGAAATGCACCATTCAAACCATTGAGCTGAACTTGAATTAATTCTATGCTCGGTCAACTCCACATTTTTAAGGTTTTTGTAAGCTTTTGTGTTTTGTTTTATTATTTTTTTTTTTACATTTTCTATTTACTAGTGTGTGTTTTTCTCAGGGCCACCATAATGTATTCATCTAACATACTTTTAGTGGATGATTTCCAGCACCTAACATTTACAATAACACCAGTAATCCTCTCTGATAAAGCAATAATACTGAATCTTATGCACAAGTTGAGTAATGTACCTATATTTGTGCTGCACCTTTTGATTTACTGACCGAAGGGTCGGTTTCTTTTCGAGCTGCATGTCTCAGACGACAGATGTAGTGGTGTTTACTAAGCAAACAGCGTGATAGGATGAAAGAAGAGAATGGCAGCGGTTGTTCAAAAGGTTTTGTTCTGTTATCTCGGGACTGCAACTTAATAAACTGGATAACAATTTCACAGATTAAGCACACCAACTAAGATAGATTGCTAATGTGTACAAAGTCTGAAGCAGAATACGCAATCTGAGATAGACCATATTTGATCATCGCATTTACCGTGTGTAATCAAGGTATGACACGGCAGAAACTGGAGCAACAATCAGTAACCTACTTAGATCGGAGGACTTAAGTAGGATACTGATACTCGACAAGTCTGGCAAGACCCCTTTAGTCAATATATGGTTGACTGATGAGGTTTATTTTGGTGGTGTGACTCTGGCCTTTCATTTGCTTATATGGAAGGTCAAAATGCTGGAAAAGCAGCAGAACTGAGCAAGCATCAGTGACAACAGACAAAGCTGAAGTCAGAAACACCAAGAACATCGTGAAATATAGGATCTCGGCTAGAGGTCGGTTGCCAAGCTACTTGCAGAACAAATGTATGAGCCTTATGCAGGTTAAATAGCACCGTATACGATTTTCCAGCAGGACTCACAGACACATATGGACTGAGCCAGCAGGTTTAGATCAGCTGATTTTGTAAAAGCAATAAAAGCAAAATAATATATTTGCATTATGAAACAAATGACTTAGAGAACGTAATTAGAAATCAAAGCTGCTCGGAAATTCTCACAATGACAAAAAAGCTGAAACAGTGCCAAAAAACAGTCTGGGAACACAATAGACTAATCAATAAACACTGATTACTCACAAATAGCCATCTCTTAAGCCTTGTTAAACACTGATAAAAAGTAGTCAAATACTACACAAATCTTCTTACCTGTGTGGGGTTGCCGGACCATTTCCAGAGCTGGCGTCCAGGCAGTAGAGGAGTCATGTTGGGCAGGGGCTCGGGTGAAGACATCCTCTGCTTCTTAGCTGTTGCCGGGTCCTTAGAGGCAGGTTTCAGCTGCTGGCGGCCAGCACTGCTTTGACTGTGATGGTGGGTATTGGGACCATCCTTCCTCTTTAACTGGTTCTTAGCTGTGCTGCTGCTGTTACTCATCATACTTCCTTTTGATACGTAGTCCTTTCTGTCTTCTACTCTGTCGGCTCTCATCTTTGAGCTCATGGCCATGTTGGCTTTTGTCACATAGCCATGAGCTGGAGATGAAGAAGATGGAGAGGAGTTGGAGGTGGCAAGATCAGGGCTCAGGAGATCAGAGTTCATGCTCTGTCTGTGCTTTTGTTTGTCCTGTTGGAGCAGTGCACGGCGCAGCAGCACGGAGGAGGACTCTTCATCAGAGGAGTAGGAGGAGTCATTGTCGGAGGAACAGAGGGATGAAGAGGAGATGGAGCCGGAAGAGGAAGAGGAGGAGGAAGATGATGAGAAACAGATGGCGTGACGAGACAGAAAACGACCACCCCGATGGGACGAGACAGTTCTTCTTCGTGTGTCAGGGTCTTGACCGTCATCCTCATCATCCTCATCCAGCTCCGAGTAAGAGCTTGGACAGTCACTCGGGTAGTCCAAACTGTAATCTCCGCCTTGAACTCCGAGACCAGCCGATAGAAGATCCTTTCTCAGATGTGGAACGCCTTTTACAGGAGCCTTAGAGCGGGCCCCGCCACTGTCTCTTTCCCCTCCTCCCTTCTTGCCATCTTTCACCAGCAGGGAGGGTTGGATGTATCGCAGCGGTGCCCCTGTGGAGGCGTGGCTCTTCCCTATTCTCACTGCAGCCCCCCCTAGTCGAAGCAAGGCTTTGCCATTCTTTGTTTTAGGAGAGGTCACTCCTTCGTGGTCTAACTTCACAAGAAAGTGTTTCCTGTCACGTTCACTCGCTGGCTTCCGGCTCCCAGCTGTCATACCCATGGTGACAGACGAGGAGCAAGAAGAAGACGAGGAGTCCCGGAGCCCCATGGAGGCTACTGCGTTAACTGGTCTCCCAGATCCAGAGTTTCCACCACTTCCAAAGGTAGAGTACCCATTAGCAATACTACTGAATGAGTCAACTTCAAAAGGAGAGCCAAAGATGCCTTTGATAGGGGTTGGTGGAGCCAAAGAGTGGGAGGAAGGCCGATGAAATAACCCCAAATCTCGCTCTCTGATCTTTTTCTGGGTCTTACGGGACGTCCCATTGAAAAGGAAGAAATCCACTGGCGGTCTCTTCCTGGGAACGCACCAGTTCAGCATGGAAGAGCTGCCTTTTGTTATGGTGTCAGTCACTGATGTCGGTGTGCTGGTAGTCTTAGGCACCGAATGTATTTTCTTCGGTCTACCAACTGTAAAAGGAGCCAGCACCAGAGGGAAGTTAATATCAGTAGAAAATGTCAGGTCTAACGAACAAACTATGATTAATTGTGGAAGTAAGGGCTTTAGTGAAACTTAATATCTTTATCTCCTTCATCTTCACCTGCCTAAGTTTCAACATATCCATTACTCAAACTACAACAAACCTGGTAAACCTGTCTCTCCTCCCAGTTTTATTGTCACTCTTACTTTGAGATCAGTTACTTGTTTGTTGCTTAACTTCACAAAGGACACCGACGACATTTGATGAAATCATGATTTATGTAGATAGTCTACACTTAGGCAAAATGACAGGTGGCTAACTAGGAATGTAAATTTATGAGTCTTTGGGTATTGAACCTGCACTCTGAGCTCCTGATTATTAGCTGATAGTTGGAACAGTAAGAGGCTTTGCTTCGCATGTATGCATGTGGATCTGCACTTCTCAGGCAGTATATATGTTAAAGCCTAAGAGATATTCAGTCCCTACAGATTCAACTAAGCCTTCGTTCCTTTTCTCCTACCTGGTCTTTTTTCCTGAGGCCTTCCATCTGACTCATTGGTTGGTTTTTCTGTGTCTTTCTTCTCCTGGGTGGAGCTTCGTCGACCTCGTCGTCCAGGAGAGATCAGAAGCGCTGGAGAGGGTTCAGCACCTGACAGAAAAGGGTTGATAAGTGATTTATACATATACATATATACATATATATACATATATATATATATATATATATAAACACCCAGCACGCCCCTGCAGGCGGTTTATCCTTCAAGCTCGGGTCCTCTACCAGAGGCCTGGGAGCTTGAGGGTCCTGCGCAGTATCTTAGCTGTTCCCAGGACTGCGCTCTTCTGGACAGAGATCTCCGATGTTGTTCCCGGGATCTGCTGGAGCCACTCGCCTAGCTTGGGAGTCACCGCACCTAGTGCTCCGATTACCACGGGGACCACCGTTACCTTCACCCTCCACATCCTCTCGAGCTCTTCTCTGAGCCCTTGGTATTTCTCCAGCTTCTCGTGTTCCTTCTTCCTGATGTTGCTGTCATTCGGAACCGCTACATCGATCACTACGGCCGTCTTCTTCTGTTTGTTTTATATGTTTATATATATATATATATAAATATATATATATATATATATATATAATACACTTGTGCACTGCTTCTTTTTTCAATAACTCCTATAGTCAAAGCCATACTCACAGCGAATTTGGTATCCGGGGGGCAGAAGCCTGATGTTCACAAGGGAGATCCTTCCTCTGTCACCATCATCAAACTCCACCATCACACTGCCGTCCTTCTCCTCCTCACCTGGACCTCCTAATTGCCCAACACAGTAGGGAGAACATGGGTTGCTGGAAAGATTTGTTATTGCGTGCAGAGTGAGGCGATTGGCATGTGTAACTCACCTCGGTGGACGTAGCCAGGGTAGAGGCAACGGGAGCGCTCACTCCAGTAGGCACACACTCGCGTCCCTGCAGTCAGGATGGCCTCGGTCTGTGGCCTCACATCCAGCACCTGGTAAAGAGAGAAAAAAATTGCAAAACTTTTCAGATGAAGGTCATCACAAACCTGCAAACGTTATACAGGCTAAGGGGTCTCACTTACTGCTTCCTGTAGCAGTTGCTCCAGCGAGTATATCCTGGGGCGATTACCTCGTTCCCCTTCAATTACAACACTAAATCTAAAAAAAAAAATTAAAACATTGAAAAAAAACCGTAATTTTAATTTATGAGTTCCAATTTTTAGCAGTTTTTATTGTTACATTTCAAAGCAGTCTTCTGGGAACCAAGAAAAGGGGTTTTGTCCTAAGGCTTTGCAATTATCCCAGCAACTTGTTTGTCAGGATTCTCACAGCTGCCAGGCATTTAAATATGCTCGGTTTTCGAGTGTTTTGAAAATCACACAACACTCTTGCTGCTAAATGCCTTCTTGGTGATAAATTCCGCAGTTTTCGCCTCTCGAAAAACACTCCAGATCTCATGATTAATAAACAATTTATCAATCCCTCAAATAAAGATACCTGTATTTGAGGGATTGATATGTCACATTGTTGCATTGACAAGCACATTTGTGATAAAAACAAAAAAACAGAAAGTGGAAATGCCTTATGCACTACTAACAGGAAAATGGGGTCTTACATATCAGGCAGGTCCAAAGTTTGGACACAGGCGGCATACAGCAGCTCGTCCTCCTTGGAGATGAGGATCTTCAGTCCATCTACCAACATCTCTTTACTTAACACACAGTTTGGCAGAGCTATGGAGGGAGTAGAAAGATGGATTGAAGAAGAAAAAAGCTGAAATATACAAAATTTGAGCATGCACTGAGTGAGCTCGTCAGTTTCGGTGTAACGTGAGGAGATGGACGCAGGAGCAGACACGGAGCATTTGTGTGTGGTAAAGCAAGCCTGTGATTCTGTGTAATACTAAGTTATATGTCAGCGTTTATACTTACCAGGTATTCTGGAAGGCATGTTGGGAGGAAGATGAACCAGCAGCTTTTTGGCCTCCTCTTCTTCATCCTCCTCTCCCTCAGAGAAGCTACTCTCTTCATCCAAGCGAAAGCCATCATCAGCTGCGAAGCTTTGCAGAAGTCTGCTCACGGCATAACCCTTTTCCTAAAAGAGAAACCGGACATTACATCAGTGGTCAGAAAGCAGGATGTGGTAGTACACAAACTAATTATCAGTACACAGGACCTGCAGACAACTAAAAGAGTCGTTTCAGTCTGATGTAACTGATGTGGTTAATGCATCATTGGAAAGTAACCCCAGGCGTCAATGTCTTTTGTAATGTGATACATCATTAAAGCCTCAAGGATGTTGTTTGTTTTGTTTTTCTTGGTTTATTTTTATTTAAATTTTTAGTTTTTACACTTGCCATTGTTTGTGCACAGGCGGCACATATTGCACATCCACCTTATTGATGGAGGACTCTTGACCTGAGGTGGACGTTCTCACCATCGCGTACGAACATAAACGCACACCAGATACTACCCATCTCCAGACCGGTTTCAGCTAGTTTATCCAAAGATGACAGATGACTGACGAAGTAAGTAAGCTCGCCCAACAGGTTTCTGCTTGTATTTAGGCTTTCCGAAGAAGAGCGTTCATAATATTTGACGTGTGTGTTAGGTTTTCCACATCAAGAGATCATATATTTTATTAATAGAAGTTTCGTCACCAGAGGGCATGGGTGACTATTTCCTTTTAACGCCGGTGATATGTGTGTGTTTGTGTGCCAGCACGCATGGGTGTGTGAAGCATTAAGGCCAATGATTATCTTTATATTCCTCTGTTTGGTTTGGAGTTATGTGTTTTTGGACATTCCCTTGCAATGACTCAAAGACTAAAGCAACCTGAGGGCATCTCACATTAAAGCGAAATGCGAGTGTCTCGCCAACCGCTGCTCGCACAGATAAAATGAGGCCAGCGGTCTGTTAGCACAGCCGGCGCGCCTGCAAACATGCACCTATAACGACAGCAAACGATGCATTTGCCACAGTGACTGATTTATAGCTGATGTTAAGCATCTGCCCGTATGGGAGCAGGAGTTATTGGTAGGCGCTGTCAGTGTTAATCTACGGGATTTTCAAGACTTCCTGGCAGGGTGTGGCTCACACCTAAACAAGCAAGGAGTGAACTTGCGGCGAGGGCTTTTCCTAATTCTTCTTCTCTCTTTCTCAGCTTTACTTTGCATGCAGTAGCCAAAGGGAGTAACCCTCTGAGTCACCTGCCCTCTTTTACTCACGGTAACCAGTTCCCCTTCTGCTTTGTTACTCAAAAATCATGTTTTATTTCTGCCTTGTTTAGGACTCTGTAACAGCTCAATGCTCACTATAAAACCTTTCCACCAAGCTTCTAAATGTGGCTATTGTATCTCACCTTTCCGTTCTCGAATCCTACTACTTTGTGTAGTGATCAGGGGAGACAAATAGTTGTAGAGCACATAAACTCTCTCTCCCTTAAATAAATAAACTTTGGGAGAGCATTTATTTGCACTGTCCTCAGAGCATCATATTAATTACAAATATTGCATGATTTCTTTCAAAGTACAGTTCCTATTCCGTGCAAGGGAGCAAATAACAAACGTTATCAGAAGCGGTCATGCAAAGTAAGTTGTAAAAAAAAATTTCAGAAGTGATGCTTTTTATCAGTGCCCTCTCTTTCCTCTGATCATTGCCACAGAGATGCACAGGTGTGGCAGTTGAGTGGGGGGATCCGAGGTTTGAATGTCAGTTTACACGTCGCTATCCAATGTCCCACCTTTCCACGAAAGCTCTGTCCTGCAGAGGTCTTCCTCTCATCTTTCTTGCTGATCCTCTTCGCCTCAGTCAGAGCTCTGTGGTTTTCATGGCTGTCGCCAAAACTGCAGCCCACTGGCAATACGCCCCAGCTGAGGGGAGATGCTCTGTTGGTCGGCAGGTGATCTGCACGACTCCTCTCTGTGTTGGCGAGGCCTGGCCTGAGGGGTGCTCTCCTTTGGTCCGTGGTGGGTAAGATCCCCATGCCTGAGGATGGAGACGAAAGCATCATGTAAATTAAAGATAGCGTGTTAAAACTGATATCAAGTTGATATGATCGGGTTATGGTTCTTTGTGAAAAAAGATACATTTTAGAAACATGCGTGTGAAGGGAAAAGAGGAGGAGACGACATGCAAAATAGATTGCAACTCTTCAGCTTCGCCGGACATCTGAAGAGAAAATAATGTTTTCCTCTGAATATGGGAGCAACATCACAATTTGTATGACCGTTAACAGCCAAAAACTACTCAAGTGAACGTTGCCATTCAAACCTGTTGACTTAGGAGAGGAAAGTTTCTGTCAGTTTTTCCTGTTACTGACACAATATGTTATAATCCTTGTGCATGCCTTTTCATTAACGCAACAGTGTGCAGTTCAAACAGATAACATGATATGTAAATGCCTGGTGTACCCAGTCTCTATTCATGGAATTTTTCTTATGGAAAAGTGTCCATTCAGAAAATAAACACAACCAGAAAAACGGAAGAAAGGAAATCTGTCTCCTGGAAATCTAAAGATATGTATAAACATCTCACCAAGAGGTCCTGGTCTCCTACTCCTGGCTTTCTGGTTTGTTTGCAGCTTGGAGGACTGTGATGAAAAAGATATGCCCCCAGCAGGGTTTGCAGGAGCTTCTTTAGAGGATGAGCTAATCTTGATGTCACCGGCTCCGTCTTCGCTGTCATAGCTGGCATCTTCCTCTGTGAAATTGTGAAATCACAACATCAGTATGAGAGTCAGAGCGCTTCAAGTCATTTATATGTAAACTCTGTTAACAGCCAAGGACTCACTCGATGAGATGCATCGACAGCGAGCTTTCGAGATTCCTTAACATTTTGGGCCTGCTGCTAAATGCGCGCATGTTCAAATGCCAAGCAAGTCAAATTTCTATGAGGGTCTATAAAAGTCGGGCATTTCGTCACAAATTAACTCTCAATGAGCAAACCTTCTTTAATGGCTAAACAATAATGCCCTGCTTGTTACTTAACTGCTGTGACAGGGAGCAAATGTTGACACACACACACACAACACACATACACAGATTGTTAATGGCAGCTGTGTCTCGCTGGCTGCAGGGGTCGCGTCGGGTGTTGACACATCTGACACACTTGTCACTTACATGGCATTCTCTTCAACGCTTTCCCTGACACACATACAAACACTGGCAAACACACACACACGCACAGATAGACACACACACAGATAGACACACACACACTTAACTGAACCACAAATTCTTCATGCCAATAAGGCCACGGGGTCAGTGAAATTCTAGTGTTTTCCTCCATGTTATGTTGGTTTCATGGCGCACCCATCTCTCTGGCGAGCCGTTAAAAGTCAGGACGGGTGTCATTGTGTATCCTCAAGTCGAGGCACTTCAGTGTGGCCATTTTCACAAGGTTGGAGAGGTTAAGGAGAGATGGGAGGAGCTGGTTGTGACATTCTGAACGGGGAGGCCAGGGCAGGCTCACATTACCATATGCCGATGAGGGCGGAGGGCCGTGTCGCATGCCCGTGGCAAGTCGTTAACTGTTTTAACAGTGTGACAGACGAGCTGGGAAGTGAGAGGACACCCCTGATGACGGCAGACATCTCACTCTCAGATGCTCCACACGCGCACACACACACACACACACACACACACACACACACACACACACACACACACACACACACAATCTCACAGCAAAATCTCACAAGATCTGGTTGGTGTCCTTTGACCCACACACCAAATAAGCGCCGCTTGACTCGCATGTGAAACTGTCAGTGAGCTTTTCCAAACTTCTGAAACTGTAGTTTTGTCATAAAGCTCTTATCAGCAAAATGTGTGCATTCCATTGACCAAAAAAAGGCTGTAAAATTTTACGGCCAAAGCATCAGCTGCGTGATCCTTTTTTGGTTAATTGGCAAGGCGACACAACCAGACTGTATATCAAGAAAAAAACCTCACCATGCTCTGAGCTCTCGCTGTCACTCTTCTCATCATCTATTTCATGCTTCTCAGTAACTCGGCTGTCCTTGTGGTGAGGTCTGTTAGGGTTGATGTCCAAGGGAACTTTGGGCTTTCGACCTCTCTTCCTCTTCCCGGTTTGAGCGGCGCTGTGGGATTGCTGCAGGTCTAAGAGATAAGCAGAAAAGGGGTGAGCTGAGTTTCGAGGTGCTGCCTAGTGAACAAGTGTTTTTATGCACCCTCTCTCTCCCCCACCTTTTCCGCCTTGTCTGCAGTGACTCTTGGATGCGTCTTTCTCGCTGCTGTGCAGCATATCTGCTGACTGTGAACCACGCTGGGCTGCAGCCTTCTGCTTCAGCTGGGTCACCCGCCTGGCCAGCCTGGAGCTCAGGGCGCTGGGTCGACCTCTGTGCTTACAACGAGCTTTCATCTGCAGTCAGGGAACAACTAATTATTGACTCATTCCTTTCTGCTAATTGAAATATCTAGAAAAAGAAAAAAAAAACAGGAGCAGGAGGAAATAGTTCTCAGCGTGTGTGTTTGTGTGTGCGGATGAACCGTGAGAAGCAGCGAGCGGCTGACCTGTGCAGTGCTGAGGCTTTTGAAGTTGTGATTGGACATTGAATTCCTGGCTTTTTCCTCCAGTACATTCAGTCCAGCCCTGAAAAAAAACATAAAAACACAGCAGGGACGCAGCTGAATGAGAATTTATCCTATGTGAAAACAAAGAATCAGCTTAATCACACGTCTTTATTCTCTGCATCTCTGCATTTCCCTTTTTTTTTTTGCTTTTTTCTTCTTAGCGTCCCTTCTATCTGTGTTGAAGCTCAGTCATTGTCTCGCTCTCTTCCCACTCATCTTGTCTGTCTCGTAACTTTGATGAGGTAAGAGACAGCCTCGGCGCGGTCTGACGGCAAACACGGGAATATTCGGATCGCGAGACTAAAAAAGGGTAAGAAATTATCTGTCGTGAAGAGAACCAAGAAGAGGGAGAGATAGAGAGAGACAGTGGGTAGAGGAGAATGGTTGAGGGGGGAGGGAAAGACACAGAGAAAGAGAAATGAAGCAGTCTCGGGGGAGTCTGTCCGTTGACCGGAGCTTCAGGGCTCAATCGATAAACACTAACCTCTATTGAACACTACTCCTCCCTTCCTCCCTCTCTCTCCCTCTTTCTGTCCTTCCTTCATTGCCCGCATGCTCTCTCGCACCACCACAGGCAGTCCCCACACACACACACATTAACATTCATATACACACACATAGGCACACAACAGTTAGCAGCTGGTGTCTGAGGCAGGTGAATCCTATATTCCCAGAGAGGGAAGGTTTGGCTCTCAGCATCTCTGCTCCCAGGAGAGCAGAGCAGAGGAGAGGAAGATTCTAACTATCCAGATCACCTTTGTCTGTTTCATTCCCCTGAATGACTGACGTTTAACCCGAGATTCAGTCAAATTAGTGTTCGGGAGTACACGGCACAAAACAGCAAGGTGGTTGCTAGGTTCTTTAAACCATCTTTAAGTGCTTTTAACAATTTTTTATGTAGCCCAATCACTTCAAGAGCAACTGACAAGAGGTGAGACGATAAGCTAGGTTCACCTATAAAATCCAAGCTGGCTATCCGCACACCTTTCACCATATATGCTTCATATTCCAGATATCAAGAGAACAAGTCAGCACACTTTAGAAGAGCTACCATTCCTCTTCATCTCGCTTTCTTTCAGTTTTATTTCACCCACACCCCAACTCTCATTAGAAGATGAAAGCATAAACAAATGATACATTGCTTGTTAATAACAACAGAAATGCTGCTCAGGCACGGAGCACCCAGCTCTACTAATTAAACAAGTTCTCTGCGTGTGTGTGTGTGTAGTGCACTGGCATGTATGACTAAAGGCTTTCATTGTCATTTTCATTAGCGCTTTCTAATCATGGTAACCGTGACAAACCTCGAGTTTCTCTAATCATTTTATCAAGGCGAGGGGTGCACATGCTAACAGAGGTGGGGCATCATGAGAAAACACATTTATCACTGCTGAATCCCGGCTGCTTGCACGCACTAGCACACGTGCGTGTGTCCGTGAATGTGAGTCAGTGTGGAGGTTTGCATGTGTGAGGTGTTAAATAATGTGTGGTTGCGTGTTGCAGCTGGTGGGGGTGGCGTGGAGTCATTTATCACTGTAATAACTGTACATCAGAACTTTGTCCAGCTGTATTAATATATGCTGGAGGTTCGCATGGAATCAGGACATAATCAATACAAGTGATAAATATGATTAAAAGTGATTAATGGTGATTAATGAAGCCCTCATCTCCATTACCTTCTCTCATTAAAAATCACACCCAGCTTACAGCTCCCATCACATAACCCCCACTGTGTATGTGTGTGTGTGTGTGTGTGTGTGTGTGTGTGTGTGTGTGTGTGTGTGTGTGTGTGTGTGTGTGTGAGCAGCTCCTTCCAGTGCCCAATCAAGCAAATCATCAGCTAGAGAGCATTTGAATCAATTCAGCTGAAGAAGAACTTCTTGAAAATCAACCATGCCTTTCACTAAAAACACAAACAGAAATCAGGATGAATGAGCTGGGCTTGCCAATCACACTGATTATACCAACGCAATATCAGAGGACTGACCTGAGTCTTTTGGAGCTCTCTGCAGCAGCTGGGCCGGGGGTGGACTTGCGCTTACGGGGGCGGCCGGGCCCCCGGCGAGCAGGGCTTCGAGATGTCTCCTCTTTCCTGCAGAAAGAGGAAGGAGGAGGAAGAGGAGGTGGAGTGGTACGGAGAGGGAGATTAAAGATGCAATCCGGACAGCGGGAGAAATCAGGAAGAAGCTTGTATCGGCTACAGGTCAAACTGCATTAAATATGAGCACGCAGATGCAGCATGAAAGCAGAAGAGTGAATATTGGAATGCAGAATTCAGACTAGACAAAATAAGTGTGTGTGTGTGTGTGTGTGTGTGTGTGTGTGTGTGTGTGTGTGTGTGTGTGTGTGTGTGTGTGTGTTGTCTCTGCTCACTGGTGGTCGTGTTTCCTCTGTAGTTTGGCCAGTTCTCTCTGTTTTTCTTTGTAGCGGCGCTGTAGCTCAGCCAGCTGGACACGCATGGCCAGCTCCTCCCCTCCCATGGTCTCCATGGAGCCCTTCACTGGGCACACCTGACACACACACAAACACGGACACACACACACAGAGCAGAGGAATTTAAATGCTGAACACCAACTTCAGCACAGCAGTCATTGGATATGTAGCCAGCTTGTGTTTGGCCAGCTTGCTGAGGACTTTCCTGTAACCAAACGCTCACACGTTTGTGTGAAGCAGTTAATTTTAGCAAATCAACAACTTCTGCTCTTACTGGCAGATTTCTAATAGGCTGATGTAGTTCCCTAGGCACTTTCTGTCGCAGATAACAAATATTAACATAAGTAAAATCAATCTGTAAACGTTAAAAAGGTTTCGCCAAGTAGTTATCTAATAATCTGTAGGATAAATGTGCGCTTATTGAAGTCTTAAAATCAAACGCCTGATAGCATTGGTGAAGCCGGATCTTGTTTTGAAGTTTTTTGAATTTAATAAGAAATGTAAAGCTCCACCACACAGGAAGCACTTGTGTCATCTTTACTTGAACATTACAAAAAAATATGAAAATGTTTTATTTTGAATTTCAACACAGATCAAACTAAAAGAGTTTTTTTCTAAATTTTATCCATCCATTTTATTTGATCACTAACACGTTTTGCTCAGTTATTCAGTGAACACACAGTGTATTGGTTTTAATCCACACTACTTTTTGTTTCTTATGATAGATTATATTTATTGCACCCGTGTTTTAGTGTTCGTTTGCTACACTACACAATGCATTCATTTTATAGTGTGATTTTCCACTGAATTTATGGAATTTATGTGTCATTTTATTGTATGGATCAGTGCATGCAAAACACTCATCGATTCCCACCAGTGCTTAAAAGTAGATATGGGGAAATAAGAGAATAAAGGGGAATTTCTTTTAGGAGAGTGTAAATAAATTATGCTGTAAATAATTTAAGAAATACTGGGTACCTACATGGTGGAAAACTGTGGGAAAAAAGAGCCAAATAAAACACATTAAGTCATGATGTAGTAAAAATGTTCATTTTACATGTTTCATGTTGAATTTACTGGCATGTTTGCTTTAATCTTATTATTTAAACTCTTAGAAATTAGTCTATTTCTCATTTGTATCCCTGATAATAACCAACAGGCTTTTTCCTTTATGATTTCTTAGCTGTTCAGTTCAGAAATTAGATTTTTTTTTTTAATTGTTTTGGTTTTATTTACAACAAGTATAAAACAATTCATTTCTGTTCAAACTGTTCAGCACTCCATTGAGCCACATTTTGAATCCTCACTGATTTACGTCCTCATGCACAAACACAAAATACACCCGTGCCTCACCGGCTCGTGCCGAGGCGTCCAGCTGCACTTCCTGCGCAGGTTCACCCTCTTCCTGATTGGACACTGCTGGTCCACGGCACCATCCGCATCCACATCTACCCGTCCCCCTCCGACTTCCAGGGCACGGGCGGCCACCAGAGTCGCCAGACTGTGGAGGTCAAAGGTCGGCATGTCCTCCTCACCTGCGCGGAGACGGATTGTTTCGATTTAGATTGGTACATCACGCAGCGGCTGACACCTGGTTATAAAACACGCCGTGTGCTGAAAGGATTTATTTCTCGGGCGATGAAACGGCGTCTTGAAAAGTGGTGATATTTATGATATTAGCTGTGTAGTTTATTTGATGTATACTGGTGTTCATGCCTAATCGTACACACAGACACACACGCATGGGAGGGGGGGTTGTAGGGAACGATCTCTACATCTGTCACTGTCATTAACTCTGTCATTGTCACGGCAGCGGCAGATGAAACGGAATATTCATGAGACGGTCCACACACATTCACACACACACACACACACACACACACACGCAAATAAAAAAACACTCATTTAGAATACACACAGGCACCCTACAGCATTTTCGCTGAGCTATGCAGACATGGGCAAACTGCGTGAGGCTATGTGAGGGAGAATTGGAGAGATGGTAAGAGAAGGAGGAGAAGAAGGACTGTGGGATGCGGTGAGAAAAAGGGAGGGAGGGATGGGGAGTAAAGGGGAGGAGAAGCAATAAGAGGCAAAGTGTTTATTGAGCTATCTATTTATTCTCCTACATCTCCTCATTATGGACATGGACAGAATCCAATTTCCCCTTAGAGAAGAAGACGAGGAGAGAAAAGAAGGAGACGAGGAAAGGAGAAGAGAGGCAGGTGAGGAGAGGTCTTCCTCATTCACTCCCACTGTGTACTGGAGCCGCAAGGCCCATTCACTGACACCTGACATCATTAAGACCTGTGTGAGTGTGTGTATGTGTGTGAGGGAGTGGAAGATGGAGACAGAAAAACACGGCAAATAGCGACGAAAGAAAGGAGGGCAGTCTTTGTCTGTGAAGAGAGAAACGAGAGCGTGCGTGAACAAACGGATGTGAGATTGACAGGTAACTCCTCGGAGAGCGACAGAGCAAGCGGGAAGGAGCTGAGAGATGCGGCTTTGTCCTGTCCCGGCTCGCAGAGGTCAATGCCATCTCATCTGTCAGACCTCTGAGCCAATGGCATGCTCCGATTACCCTGACAGGATGACATCACTACTGACATCACCACACCTAGTTTAGTATCCTGGAGGATGGCCACAATCGATAGATACCTTCCGCCTACAGCGCACAGACACACATATGCACGCACACACACACTCATCGTTGCACAGTAATAATACCATACCGTGTCTCTAACGGGGGTGAAGGGTGTAATAAGAGGGGGATTTCACAGGGGATTTCAAGGGGAAAAACAAAAACAGTAGAGGAAAATTAAAAACCATTACAGCTGCTGTGGACCTAGTCATCATTAGAGACCATTAAGGAATTTATTGGTGTGAAATTTCAAAATAAAGGAAATGCGAAGGAATAAATTACACAAATACCTCCTCTGTCTACGTGTAAATAGAAGTAATGGCGATAATTCATGAAGAAGAGAAGGGGTGGGGGCACATCTCTTGATTCCTTAATCTGTAATTGTGATCTCCAGTGAACAGCTGAGATATCCTTCTGCATCAAGGAACGCCATAAACGCATCTGTCTGGGATCGGTTTCATCTCCCCCAACGCATTCACAATGACAAAAACGCCATCAGCGGTATTAATAACATTCTCGGCGATGAGGTCAGAGCGGGAGGGGGGGGGTTAAATAAATGTGTTGCAACTTGAAGAACGTTTTCCACGCCACAACAGGGCTTATTGATTTCACACCTATTACACATGCTAACCACGTGCATGCACATGTAAACAAATGCACAGTCGCGCTGTATCTCTGACACACACATGCACAGACAGCAGCTGAGCGACTTATGATTTTTACACTTATTAATTCCGTCAACAAGGCTTGCAGAGGCAGGATTTACACACAAGATTACATTGGTTTAATAAAAAAAAAAGAAAAAGAAAGAAAGAAAAAAGAAAAAGGAGACGTGTGTTGGGGGGGTAACAAAGAGGGAGGAGAGGCGGGAGGAGGCGCAGGCAGGGAGCAAGCAGCCTGGTGGAGAGACACGTAGACTCTGATGGAGGAGAGCAGGGATTCATCTGGGATTACTTAACAGCTTACACACACACACACACACAGCCGCGTGCACGCCACGTACAAATCGCACACACACACAGATGCTGGCATAAATAAAAACACTTTCTCTCAGAGGGACGAGAGGAAAATAGGAGCGCTTACAGGAGAAGTGTTTTAAAGGAAAGGGTCTAATTAGCAAAGCAAGACGCCAGAGCCTGGGGGACACACTGGGCAGAGTGTGTGTGTGTGTGTGTGTGTGTGTGTGTGTGTGTGTGTGTGTGTGTGTGTGTGTGTGTGTGTGTGCGTCCTGGCTTGTTTCTAAAGCTTAGCTTGTCCATCTCTGGGTCCCCTCAAAATGCACACATACTTTCACGGGCATGCACACACACTGGCATATACACATAAGCATCCTTCCCAGAGGGAAAAAATTTGGTCTATAGGCAGGAGCGGAGAAACAGAGCTGAGGAAGGAAGCAGGATAGTTAGTGGGAAATTTTTTGTGTCTGTGCATGTGTGTTGGTGTGTGTGACATGAGACACATCTGGATTGCACACATCTCCCAAAGCTCTCTCATGTGTTCACTGTAAGTGTGTGTGATTGTATAGCAAGAAGAAAAGCATGGTGACAGTTTTTTTCTTTTCTTTTTCCTTGATCTCAATTTCAAGGGCATTTTAGTCTTTTTTTAGGTCTTTTTTTTACTATAAGAAGATAATGTAAGAAAGGCAGACCTAATTATTGGGGCTGTTTAGAACTATTTTGGTTTCATTTCATAGGTTTCCAATTGGACCAATGTCTGTAGATGTGTAAGCAGATTAGACCACACAGACAGACGATGCATTCTCAAATGAATTTCTTCTCACCTGCTTTGCTCGCCCTGCTCCTCTGCTGGATCTCAAGCTCGGCCAGTTCCCCCAGCATCTCCATGCCGTGGTTGGGTGAAGGGCATGGGGCCTGGTCAACAGGTACAGGTGGGTACAAGGCATCTCTGGTGGCACACAGAGCTGCAGCGATTAGGAGCTCCAGGCTCCACATGTAGGCCCCTTGGAGCTGAGCTGCTGTACTTGCCGTTGGAGGGACGATCGGGTCGGCGGATGTGGTAGGAGCGGGAGAGCTACACGTTAATTTCACCAAGCCCTCACTTGGTCTTCTCCCATCCCCCTCATCATCCTCCTCATCCTCCACTACCTCTACATTCTCTCCTTCTTTGTGCCCATCCTCCTCTGCCTGGACTTTTCCAGGCTCTTCAGGCACAGAGACTGTACATTCTGTTGGTTTGGGATGAATTTTCTCCCCCTCATCCCCCTCGATGTCCTCTTTTCCATCCTCCCTATCATTCTCCTGCTCTTTGGGTAGCTGGGGCTCCTCCAGGCCAGCCTGCTGGCCCGGGCAACCCAGGGAGAGCTCTACTTTTAGGGTTTTGCCTGTGGCTGTGGCTGGGCAGGCTGGATCTGGGACTGGAGCTGGGAAAGGGCATGGCGGCAATCCAGAAATCTCACTTTGAGGCTGAGAGACCGAGCAGCCTTTTGTTTCCTGCTTCGCCTCCTCTGTAAGTGCACACTGGGATTCCACCACTTCACAGACCCTCTCATTGTCTTCCTTCCCCAGCTCTTCAACTTCAACAGTGAGAGGCTTGATGTGGCACTGGTGTGGGAGGGACTTAGTGTCAGGCTCTGCCGGCTCATCCTCCAACATAGGTTGCTCAGCCAGTCGAGCCTCTGGAGGCGAGGGCCCGGCCTTGTAACCCATGGTGATTGGAGGGTAAGTATAAACAGGTGGCAAGTCTGGGGGAGAAAGGGAGAGAGCGCACTGGTCAAATAGTTTCTTTGTCATTAAAGCCTGTAAATCAGCCTGAAATAGGGGAAAACAAAATGTATTTATCTGCAACAAATAGAAATATTTGTAGTTTCTTGTTCTTTAAATTCATTGCAATTCCGTTCAGGTAGATAGGATGAAGCCAGTGATTACAGTTGGCATAATACATTAACAGCAAGGTGCTGAAAACACAATGTGCCCACAGTGGTGTGTATTATACAGCATGTGTGTGTGTGGGTGTAGAAGTGTAAGTATATAGATCTAGGTGGGATATTGATGACACCCTGCCGTTTTCCTGTGATTGCAGCGCCAGCCCTGTCACCCCTGCTCTCTTATTATTGATGATATCCCTCCGCCCCCCTGACAACGCAGCCAGATGAATGCGTATCCTTCCGCGTGTTCTTCTCAAGGACCCCTGAAGGATAAGGAGGCTCTATCTGAAGATTTCACTGACCTTCACTGACACACATATGCACACTGGCAGGTCACACACATACATACATGGACAGAGTGCCCATATGCTTTTTTCTGACCTTAATGGCTTGCCTGCCCGCTGTCCCTCTTTGGCTCGCACAGAAAAAAAAAGTGCACACATACACTCAAGGACACACTGAGTAAGGGACCAGCCATGCTTCAAACAATTTCTGCAAAATCAAAAGAATACCACACTTCAAAGCCCAGTGCTGCATTTCAGCAGCAGCGGCCTCCATCACTCTCCCTCTTTCTTTTTCTCTTATGCTCTGTCTGTCTCTGTGTCCTGTTTCGCCATCTTTATGCTATCTGATGGTCCAGCCTGCTGGCACAGATTTTTCAGTTCAGACAGTGGATTCATTAACGAGCCTACGGGAGTTTCTGCACACACAAACCTGGCTCGAGGGATTGTGGGTAGTCCTGAGGTGGCTGTCCCTCTCCTCTGTCACTGCCCCTCTCCAGTCCTTTAGAGAGGTGTGAAGGAGCAGGGCTGAGGGCTGGGGACCGGGGAGCTGCTGCAGCAGGGCTCGGTGCAGGAGTCAGAGGATTTGGCGGGTGCGGAAGCGTGGATGGGGAGTGGTAGCAGGGTGACTGACGGCTAGTGGGGCACATTCCCGGAGATGGTGTAGATGTCTTGGGTGGAGGTGGGGTGTGAGAGAAGGGTTTGGCTGCATGGGAGGAGGCAGTGGACGTGGATGAAGAAGAAGAAGAGGGAGTCCTGGATGGTGGAGATTGATGAGTTGAATCTTCCAGGGTGATGGTGCTATCATCATGTTTTCTCTATGAGAGGAGAAACGGAGAACAAGCGATTGAGAAGTAATCCTTACAATGATTGGATGAATACATTTTAAATGTGTTACACGATGCTAATTTAACACTTTGATCTTCATGGCCAGTTACGACTGTATGACAGCAGGATGTATAAGACAAGCCAAATTGCATCTAAACACAAACATTAATTCTGAAAAAAAAAAAAAAAAATGACAGAAAAGCAGGGGGGGGGGAGAAGAACTGTAGAAATGACCACATCGCTTGATTGCCAAATGATCTGGCAAATGTGAAAGCGTAAAAGCAACACATCAATGTGTCTTTATCAGTAAAACCATTCTCCAACAAAAGAGGAAGTCATTGGCTTAAATAAATATTGCTGAGTGTGATTTTTGCATATGTTTTTCTTTCAGTGTTAAGAAGTCAGGATATCTGCACTGAGAGATCTTCAAACAATTCAGTAGTGGTCGCGTATTGTAGTCATAACAGCTGAAACGAGGAAGAAGTGCCATTGCGCAACTTCAGCGTATTTCCCAATTCTCATTTGTCCACAGTTTCACAATAATAACTCATTGTCATAGGTTTCTGGTTTATACTGGTCTTACTTGTCCTAAAGATTGGCGTTGGATATGCTCCATGGCTCGCTGCTGCTGCAGGGCGTACAGCTCCTGTTGCCGTAGAAAGGAGGGGCGGGAGTAAACTGGGTGATGCTGCAGGTGAGGAGGGGGGCCTCTGCCTCCATAAACAGGAGGCCACAGACCCGAGGGCTCCAGAACATCTAGAGTAGATATTGTAAATGAGAGAAACGGCTGAGTGTTTTCTTTTGATTTAAAGAAAAAAAAAAAACAATGTAAAAAGTATGAAGAAAGACATTGATGGATGTTGTTGCAAGACTGAAAATAGACCATTTGTAGCCCGAATGAGCTGTGTTTTGGCCTCAGACACAATCACTGAATAGTGAATGCATGCTTAACAACCTGTAATCACCACTTTTAACGCTTTCTATGCAGGTTTTCTTTACAGGGAAACACATAGTTTCATCACATCCTCTCCCTTAGCACATATGAATGTGAACACACATATGAGTATACATACACACACACACACACACACACACACACACATCCCTCCTTGGCTGCCTTGTCGCTGGGAACCTTTGTTCTGTGAGATTAGCCTGAGTGGGCTAATGTTTCCCAGGGGAAGGGTTCAGTGGATGTACTTCCCCTCTCCACAGGAACTCTCACGGAGCGAGGCAAGGGAGGCGGGAGATAATTAAATTTCACAGCCTGTTTGCAAAGCAGCGCTGACACACACACTCACCATACACACACAAAGACAAACACTTTTGTCTCTCCAGCAATGGCTGAGGTGCCCAATAAAACCCTTCACATATCGTATTGTTTCAGACGTGAACACAACTTTAAACACACACACAGAAAGCACACACACAGAAAGCACAAAGTCCAGTCCAAACACATCAGTGCTCCACCACAAGAGAGATGAAACGCCAGTTAAAATGGTTTGCATAATGCCGGGCACACGCAGAGGGGGGGCAGCAGAATAGCTGCTCCCATTAACGAAGCTATAAAACATGGTCCCACTGACAGAAGGACTTAGTTGAGCATTATATTATGATTAGCCAATGATACTAAAACTCTGGGAGAGAAATGGCAGAGGCTTTGATGATACAAATGAAAAGGGGGGGGAGGAGTATGTGTGTATGAGGATGCTAAGCATACCAAGGTGGTGATGAGGCCCTGGTTCTGTTGGAAGAACCATTAGTGGGGAGTTAGGGTCTTGGGTAAGTGACCCCAAGACAGGCTGCAGAGTGCTGGGAAGACCTGGAGGAAACCCTGGAGTCATTCCCACATGACTCAGACCTATAATGTAAAAATATAGCAACTTGGAATTGCAACAAAAAATAAAGAAATAACTTTATGCCGTCTATTGGAGGGCATCAAAAGAACAGAACAAGCTGAAGGTATAAAGTTAGATCTCTACTCACTGTATGAATGCCCCATCCAGAGGGATGGACTTCCTGTTCTCTGCATCCAGTGGCGGTGAGCTGGGTGAGCATGTGCAGCGGGATCAGCCCCCAACTGGCTCGCTCCTCCGGGGACCAAGAGGTGAGAGGTCAGATCCCCGTGGCAGCTGCTGGAAGGGTGGATCCTGGCGAACTCCATGCAATCCTTGTTTTCCCTGTCGTGGCAGTAGGCGGTATGAACTTTGTCATTATCTTGATTATCCCTCTTATTGTCACCATCATCACTGTCATTATGATCATTATCTTCATCCTTGTCATCTTCATTACCACTACCGCCATTATAATCATCGAGAAAAAGGAAATGTGACGGCAAGAGGAACAGACATCACCTTGTGCCTGGTCTATGAGTTCTCATTATATGTTTTCTTCCCTTGATATGACTACATAATAAGAGCCCGATACTTCAGAGACATCCATATTAGTCCCCGTAACATTAATGCACCACATCTCATCTTAGGTAGAAAGAGAGAGAAGAGAAGTGAGAGAGAGCGAGAGAGTGAGGGTGTACAGAAATACCACATCAAAGGGTGAGAAGAGTAAATGGAGTGAGGGGATGAGAGAGAAGAGATGCGCAGCTTCAGACTGGAAGAGAGAAGCCGAGAATAAAAGAACTACAGCTTATCAGATAAGAGCAAAAATGAACAGATGCTAGTGTGTGAACGTGTGCGTATGTGTTTGTGTGTGCATGCGTGTGTGTGTGTTAATATGTGTTTAAGAGTACCTGATGATCATTTCTCTGTCTCTGTCCAGGTGATGAAGACCGATCTGATCCTCATTGATCCTCTTCCTCTCCTCAGCCTCCCGACCAAGAGGATACACAGGGCGTGACACCCCTGAAGTACACAAATACAGCACCAGAAACATATAACTTATCGGCACTTTTATGTACAATCAAATGATGTAAACAATTTCCAACCAGGTATAGGAAATAAATGCACAGCAAAAGACAGTACATGGTCTACATAGATTACATGGATTTTGCTAACTTTTAATGTATCCCATATATTCTATGTCAAAATATATCTTAAAGCAGCGGTCCCCAGCCTTATTTGCACCACGGACTGGTTTATGTCCGGCCTTTAAGGTGTCGTGGATAAATACAACAAAATAAAACCATTACCGGTACCAAAAAAGAAGAAGATTTATTCATAACACACGGGAAAAGACCTAGGGAAACTGAGTTAACGCTAAAAACTGAAAAAAATCCTGAAAACCATCAATTTCACACCTGAGCCTCAACTCTCACGTCCCAGTACCAAACAACTCATGGACTGGTACCGGTCCGTGGCCCGGGGATTGGGGACTGCTGCCTGAAATTATTTTGTAATAAATTTCTTCTTGAACGTGCTAAATGATAAGTAGTGTGGAAGGGTTTTGGAGTCATTCTAAATATATCAGATGTCAAAGTGAATCAAGAACACCATCAGCTGTTCTTGTGTGTTTAATTGTTGATATTCTCCATTAATGTAGCCTCATGTTGAAATTTTCAGTGCACAGAGCACAAATGATGTCTGACCTTTCATGCTGTGCAGTACCCTGCCTTGCCTGCTGTGGCCAGGGGTGCTGTCTGGGGAACGATGGGGGGGCCTGGCTACTGCGACTGCAATACCCACTGGAGGCTGTCGAACTTCCCCCTCTCCTGCTTCCCCTGCCTCCTTTCCACCTCTGTCACTTTTCTGCCCCTCGTTAGCGGAGCTTCGGCGAGGAGGGAGTGACTGTTTGGGAGGGTCCTGCTGGGAGGTGCTGCTTTTAGCTCCTCCTCTGTCTCCCTTCTCTGATCTGTCTCCACCCTGCTCGAGGCAGCCTAGACCTCCAAAGGGGCTCCTCTGTGGCAGAAGCAAAGGCTGCTGGGAGCTGTAGTTCATTAGGTTCTTCATGGCACTGCCTTCACTGTCGGCAGATGAGGAGGACAGAGGTGGAGGCAGTTGCGAATGTAGCTGGTTGGGATCATTGTGTGGAGCTTTGTTGCTCAGCCCTTTTACTTCACCTTTACCAACCGAACCTTTTCTCTGGTCCTCTTGGTGGTCCCCTCGTGCCCCCCATGAAAGTGCTGTCTGAGTTCCGTCTTTCCCCCTGTCTTCTGCACACGCTCCGTGGCTACTGTGCTGTTGGTGCCTTATCCTTGCAACCTTTTGTCCCTCCCTTGAAGGTGTTGCTCCCGGTCCAATCTTCCCATCAGAAACTGAGTGGGAACAGTCCCCCAAGGGAGAAGTGCTAGCATCGGGGCAATTTTTTGATAAGCCCTGTTCACCTGACTTTTTCTCCTGGGCATCTGCCGGAAGCGAGGGTCGGTAAACGTCGTCCACAACCTCAACATCTCTGAAGGACGAAGAAGTTTCAAGGCTGCAAGACCTCAGTTCTGACTGAGAATTGACGTTGGAGCCTTGTTTGTGGAAGTGTTGCGTCTGCATACTCCAGTCAGGAGGTTTGTCAGCCTTGCCGTATCCCAGCTGCTGCTGGTATTGCTGCGATTTTTCCTTCTTCTGGCAGCTACTAAGTTGACTAAGGTGATGAGAGAAACTTTCATGAGATCCTTCTCCACTTTTATCATCTGCCTTTCTCCCACCTCCTCCTGCTCCACGACAGTCTGGAGTGCCCAGGTCCCCCAATGGCCCCACTGAGGGCACATAAGTCGGGCCAATGACCTTTGCCTCCCTGCCAGGTGTGGATACTGGATCTTTGGAGGGCGTAAGTGTGAGAGGAGCGGGAGAGCAGTAAAACTCAGGATGAGGATGATGATGGGCATGGTGTAACCACCCTCCCGCAACCGTGGATCCCATATGCAAGGCATGAGGAGGTGGTGGCGGCGGAGGAGGGGGAGGCATAGAGTAGGAAGCCACTGAGTGGGGAGTTGGAGATGCCAAGATTGCTGTCGCTGCAGCCGTCCCCCGTCTCATACATTCAGATGAGGAAGTCGAGGATTCGCTGATCCTCATCTCTCCATTTATAGATCCATCTTTTGAGCACCTTCTGCTGCCTCCAGATAGAGGTCTACCCGCACCACCACCGCAGCTACTTAGTGCTCCCGCCTTTCCTCGAGAGCCAGCCTCTGCCCCCGAGCCAATGGACAATTTGCAGGCACTCATATGTTTCACTCCCTGACTGCCCGAGTCACTGTCTCTGTACTCTTTATACCGCTCTGCAGCATGTCTGTGGTCTTCCTCCCTTCCCTGGAGGTTGAGGTGAGGAAGAAGGGCGGGGTGGGGGAAAGCTTGTTGGTGGTGGCCAGACGGAGTGGTAGCAGGGCTCATTTGATGAAGATGGTGATGACTAAGTTTGTCTTTGCTCTCCTGGTGCCTCTCCTTGCTGCTCGATCGCTCCTTTTCCTTTGACACAGACGAAATGCTTTTCTCGCCAATATCCTTGGTGCTCTTGCCACCAACTCCCCCGCTGTCTGTCTCCCGGCTGCAAGAGCCAAGTGGGTGTCCCGAAGCGGTCCTGGACAATGGAGGAAGGCTGTGACTGGTGGAGAGAAGAGGTGGCTGAGGAGGAAGGCCTCTCAGGTAGAAGTGATCTAAAAGCACAAGATATAGAGGATAAAATAGATCTTTAGGGTTGAAAATGTGTTCCTACAATGATTTCTGCATAAAAGAGACAAGAAACTGCCATGTTGAATAACTGGACTCTGAGTGTCTAGGTGTTCTTATTCCTGTGGTGATGCTGATTAAGCATTTTAGGGATGCCCTGTATATAAAAAGCTATTTTTTTATGAACACACACACACACACACACACACACACACACACACACACACACACACACACACACACACACACACACACACACACACACACCTACCTTTTTGAGTTTCATAGAAGCGGTGCTGTCCATAGAGGCTGTTGCTATGGTGATCCAGGGGACTCATGGGGAGAAAAGGAGACGCTAGACTTCCTGAATAGCTGGGGTACCCTGTCAGTGGGAGGCAGAGCACGAAAGAATTGATGTTTCTTTGCAGCGTTGACATTCAGCAGCCCTCTAAACAAACAGTTTATCTCTACAATCTATCATGGAACGGGGCCATTTTGGAAAATGCAGGAAAAAAAAACATGTCCAGTTAGTGCTACTTTCACCATAAATGCACTTTCGCACAAACATGCCAGATGAGTTGACATTATTTACAGTGGACAAAGTGGTGACAAAAACCACAGCCGACAGCTACTGCCAAGTGTTTGCAGCATTTTACTGGGTGGAATTTGCTCTTTCTCCCAAACCCAAGACAAACATTATGAAGCATTTGAACAGCCCACCCCCTCTTTAAAACACACACTCGCACACAGACACACAGACACACAGACACACACACACACGGGGTCCTCCCATGAGGTCACTGGGAGGTAAATGGTCGTTTCACTCTGTTCCTCGTCTTCAAGGACGTTGAACTGCATCGTGGGATAGAGGAGGTCTTGGAGGTTGTGTTGATAAGGGGGTGGCTGGATGCATTGATGGGTGAACAGCACTGTGGGTGTGTGTATATGGTTGGGGAAGGGTGTTATTGGAGGGGAGAAACAAAAGAAAACACACAAAAATAACCACAATCCCATATAGGTACATGAACGCGCGCGCACACACACCATACAAGAGGTGCACGTCTCAGCACTGTGGAGAGAAAAATGGCTTGGGATTGTTTGCGTATGCGTGTGTGTTCTCCAGCAGCTGGTTTCATGCCCCACAGAGTGTCCTTGCCGGCCTGTTAATTGGCAGCCGTTAAAAGTTTAACGGCGGTGGCCAAAGTAAACAGCACTCCATAAAAACTCATCCTACGCATTCCACAGTCACACTGCAAAACCACCAACACCCCCTCACTGCTTCCAGCATGTGTGTGTGTGTGTGTGTGTGTCAGGAGGAGGGGGCTTTCTGTGTTCACGCTGCAGTGTAAATGCACAAATGTGTCATACCCGTGTGTGTATGTGTGTGCCTGTGTGTGTGTGTTTGCGTGTGTGTGATTACTCTGACTGGTTAACAACCAGTGAATCTAAATGGCAACAATTAGCCAAAAGGCTCTATCAGCCATCTAAGGGCAATCCCCCGGGTAATGACGAGTGATAAAACTCAGGAGGGGTGGGAGGGATGAGAAACAAGAGCGAAGGGAATAAAGACAGCAGAGGGGCAGAGTGGCAAAAAATTAGATGAGGAATAAAAAGCAAGAGGAAAGGAAAAAAGGGAGGGAGGAAAGGTGAGCAACTGAATGAACAGGGAGACAAAAAAATAGACACCAGACAAACAGAGCTGTCGATATGAAAAGCCCCCCAATCTGGTGCTGCTGTGAGGC